TCAGGTTAGAGGAACCCTAAGACAAACCAGAAGCCACGGGAAGTGAGCATTCGGACGTTCTGCCTCCGCCTCCTCCTTCGCTGCTTCCGCGACACGGAGCTTCTCCTGAAGGGAGGGATGGCGGGAATATGATACACCGAAAGTTTCCCCCCGGGTGGATGCCTTGAGGCTCTGCAACTCCTGTTGGAGCCTTTGGTTGACCTCCTGCCATGTCGGGGTTTCATCTGGGGGTACTGCCTGGGTAGTAAATACCGCTCAAGTTCCAGTCCTCTCTTCTTCTGGAACCCGGACTCCGTTGCAGATACCAGGCGCTTGTGCCGGTCAAGGTCGACGATGGCTTTCTCCATCTCCATCTTGAAGTGCTGCGACTGCGATGCAGTCTCCTCCTGCAGGTTATTTCTGTGTCGCGTCCTCTTAGTCTTTCTCTCTCCCTCTTAGTCCCTTTTGCATCCACCTGAAACCGACCATGTAATGTGCCTGCTGCGCACGCAGCTGCGCATTCGTCCTCTGGGCTTCCTGCAGCAGTGCTTGACAGGGGATTTTAAGCACGTACCAAGCTGGCGCCAGCCAATTGTCGAATCCCGCCTCGAGCTGGGTCCTCATCACCTCCAGGCCCTTCGAAGCCTCCCACGACTGCATGAGGACCCTGGGGCGGACGTCCTGCATTTCGAAATGACACCATCAGACTCAGATGGAAAGGAGGCTAGAGCTACTACCATCATCCGGCCTCTCGAGCGCCTCTCTCCGACTCGGCCAGCCTCTGCAGCTCCGGGATCTGCTGGGATTGCTCTGCGATGACTTTTTCCTGGACCTGGGACTTCTGCAGCAACGCGTCCCGCTCCGTCACCACCAGGCGCCTGCTGTGGGAGAGGAGCTGCAGCTCGGACTTCTGCTCCGCGCTGATCTTCTTCGCCTCCTCCAGCTGCGCGGACGTGGTGCTCTGCAACTCCTGCCACAAGTGGATTGAGAAGAATGATGATGACTTTCATTGGGCAACGGCCGCCCCTGATCCCTAAACCCTCCGCGGCCTGAAGGCTGCTGATCTGCTGGAGGGCGCCCGCGAGGTCCGCTTGGCAGGCTGCCAGCTTCTTGTTTATCGCCCACCTCACATCGACCCTCTCCTGGTTGCACTGAGTCTTCTTCTTGCGCTTGTTCTGCTTCTGCTTCTTCGAAAGCGGAGGCTGCCCGCCACCGCTCCAACCGCCGCTGCCACTGGCACCGCTGCCACTGGCACCAGTGCCCCACCCGCTAGCACCGCCGCCCCAGCCGCTCCACGACGAGTTCTGCCTCCATGCCATAACTCCCACTGTGCTACGACACCTAGAGAGTCACGGTCACCCAGGCGTCTACCTTTCGAAGTGGTTGTGTTTGGCATCATCGATGAACTGCAGCGCCTAGCTAGGTCAATGTCTTGTACATTGGAAATTGACTTTGACCCTAATCTCATTCGACACAAGTCTTCAACATCTGCCATCTGAGAAGTTACATGCCTACTCGTGTATCATTTGCACCGAGATTCGGCAAATCAAAGCACATAACTTCGGCTTGAGCACACCACACTCTTGCACAATNNCAGAGCTTAAGCTTGAGGTCAAACAGGTTCGGGCACAAAGTTGGGTTGGCAAGCGTCCGAGGTACAGATCAAAGTTGCCGTCTAGGAACCAACTTTAAGAATTTCAAGCCCAAAAACCGAACACCCTGAATGTCGACAAAGGGGCAGCGAAAGCGAAGGGTTAAGGGGTTTGAGGGATTGCTGATTCCGTGGTCTGGTGCACTTCAACTTCTCAGAAGCATGCAAGAAAGCATCTCCCACAGAGCCAAGGTCCTGGCGAACTGCTTCAAGGCCCAGGAGCGAGTGGCAGCAGAACCTGGATGAGAATTGGTGTCTTCCAAAAGAACTATCTATTTCCTGGTCGGAGTCTATGATGTTTAGGCCTTTGCTGCAACGTCACAAATGTGCCAGGGTTGCTGCTTGGGACTAGGGCTAATTCTGGGTTCAGGGCAACAGGGTTAAATAAACTCTACAAGCCAGAGTAACACTCGGGCTTTATGGCCAGTTTAGGATGTAGAGTTCAGGGATTAGTGTTTAGAGTTTTAATTTTTAGGCAGGGTCCCCAACACTTCTACATCATCATCATCATCCCAAAGGGCGCAAGTACCATCGTTGTAATAGGTACATAAATAGTAGGTGTGAGGGCCCCCAAAGTATATTAATATACAATATATATAAACGAACTTAGTCATGTTAGCCAGCGACTCCCCGGCTAAGAAAAGTCAAGAACATGTAATCACTTACAAGCCAGCACAACCTGTTTTCGGCACACACAAAAAACCATTGATTTCCTGATTGAGTTTCTTTCCGCTCAAACCAAACGATCGAAAAAACACGTGTTGTGCGTATGTTGTAGATGCATGAGAGCGCATGCTTGTGTCATGGGCAGGGGGTCATCTTTGGGGATGATGTTACATTGGTGCCAAGGCTTAGAGGTTTTGAGCTGTTGCGTCCTTGTCAGGGCCTGGTTCGGGGTGATTAGTGTTGGGAGCTAAGTAAACCCGACCCTTGGATCCCACACCCCAGCGCATTAACCCTACAATACCCAACCCGAAACCCCAAAGTAGAACCCCAAACCCTTGGCCTGCAACTCAAGCCGCAAAACCCCAAGAGCACCCTCAAGTACCTAGAATACCTAGAACAACACACCTAAACCCTTAACAATCCCTGAAACACAAAGCCGCGCAAACCTCTAGAAAAAAACAACTTAAACTGTTAACTCTCAAACCAAAATCTGATAGAATACACCGTCCCTACAGTCTCAAACGACCCCACCCCTTCAGGCCAAAACCCCAAACCCCTGTCTGATGCAACTGAGGCAGGCAGCAAGAACTGCTGCGATAGCAGTGCTGCGATAGCACAATGACATGAAGAGCGGGATGTGCTGCGATAGCACAGTTGAATGTGCACATATAAGACAGTGCTGCGATAGCACATGAGGGTTCATGCGTGCTGCGATAGCACAATGCCAAGTTGCTGCGAGT